GATTGAAATCCATCGTCAGGTCAGGCAGCTGTGGGATCCTAGGGCTTCGTGTCCCTCGCCCCGATGGGCGCCTAGGCTCTCGAGGCTCTGCTGGTGCTCCTCGGCCGTCGACCGCAGCAGCGGCTCCAGCGCTTCCAGCGATGCGCCGCTTCGGTCGCAGCGCCCTCGCGGCGGGCGCGAAGGGCGGTGGGTGCGCGGCGAGCGGGACGTGGAGGAGTCGCTGGTTTTCGGAGGTTTGAGAGTGGATTGAGAGTAGATGGCATGTCTGGGCCCCCACAGGTTGGTGGTTTAGTCGTGGATCCTCCACCTGTCTAAGACATCTGGGGGTGCCAGTGCCATCGCACATCTGAACCACGACCTACTGGAAGGACCTGAAGGCTCGAAGTTCATCCACCGTGGAAACGATGTTGGGTCAAAGGGAGATGGTGGACGTGCTCAAGCGAGAAAAGTTCTCTCAAAAACATCGTCAAACAATGGTATCTGATACATGGAAAACAAAACATAGTCCGTCGCAACTAGTCAGTCCCTTTCTTGGAATCCAGCTGCTTTTTCCCTTGGAATCCACTTCCTTCAGTTCCTTCCAATGCATCCTCCCAACAACGGCCAACAACGGCCCGCTGACGGCGACCTGGGCAGCCCGCCTCGGTGCTTGGCGGCCACCAGAATGGCCAAGTACTGCAGCGCCGTGGCGAGGTCGCAGGGCCTCCCGGTCGTCTCGCCCAGCTCGGGGTCGCGAGGCCCTTCCAGTGCCGGAGGTCCCACATCCACAGTGGGTCCTTTTTGGGGCGTCAGGGTCCAAAAGGTTAGGCTTTCCCCCTGAAAGAAAGCGGGGTCAACCAAAGGTCACCACCCCCACGACTGCACATGCCACCCACGCCTTAAAAATACCCCAACGCCGTGGCCTGGTGATCAATGAGATTGTCTGCATGTCCATCTTCCCGCGATAAGACTCTTCTTTGGCCTCCCGGTCGGCGAGGCCGTGGAGCTGAACACTCGACCCGGTCGGCGTCGCTCGCCGGGCCAGCCCCGCTCAAATCGGAGACCAAGGACTGCCGAGGACCTATGAATTTCCCAAGGCCAGGCATGGCTGGGCTATTCTGGTGGATGGGACTTAGACCAACATCGATAGAAGTCATCCTAACATCGCTTCCTTATGCTTCCTTCTTAAACCCATCCCGGCCCATCCCCTTTTCAGTAGTGCTCAAGGATGAAAGGGACACTCCGGCCCTAAAGTTCTGTTCTTCAACCGCCTGTGACATATAACGAAAAAACCTCGAAAAACGACGCGCCTTGCCCCACCTCATTTGGTTCGGCAACCAGCGCAGCGCTTGCACGGACCTTTTGGAAGCCTCGCTGCCGACGAAGCATCCGCCCAAGGCAGATGGCGTGAGCTACGGAAATTCTTGATCACACAGAAACTGGGCAAGGAATGCCAACCGGATCTCAACATGCAGAACGTTCCTGGGAGGATTTGCCCAAATCAGCTCTTGGTGGCTCTCTGACATGTGGACCAAAGATGAAGCCCTGTCAACTGAGAATCCTCAAGTCCAGACTTCGCAAAAATCCCCAGTGTGCCCTGGAATACTTGGCGGAGAAGTGCTATTGATAGCTGGGTCATGGCATTCACAAACGATCTCATTGACTCCCCCCAGTGCTTGCACAACGACGACAGCAGACGGAACGCGCCAACGCGCCAGGAGACACCTTTCGTGAAAATCGAGCCGGTGCCATGGCGGGGGGGGGGTGAAGCAAATGGGTTGGCTCTTGACCCCAGATGCCTGAACCCCTGGTCTCCACATATGTTCGATGTCGTACTTGGAGGTCACCGTCTCCGGATCCTTCACCAAGGCCCCGAGTCCCAAGTCCCATCTCCAAGCCCCGGAAGACCCCCCCCGGCCTGGCCTTCGCTGCTGCCTTCGGAGTCTCCTGCGGCGCGGCCTGCGGCGCGGCCTCCACCATCCACTTCTCCAGTAGGAGGCGCTGCTTCTGTGAAAAGTGCCTGCCTTCGAAGTCAGAGGCTGAGACTCAGACGAAAGGAGGTTTCGAGAAGAAGAAGAAAAAGAGCTGCTTTTCCTGATGATGTTGGCTTCAGAATCTTTGAGGAGATCATCTTGAAGATTGCTGACAAAGGTCCCTGAAGTCCCCGGAGTTTCAGTTGCCCCTTTCAAAAACTGTGTCGATCGGTATTTCTGGGCAGCTCCGAACACAGATCTTGTGGACTAGTGTGGCCGCTACAGTTTGGTTGGTGTGAGGTATCTAATGACATCTTGTCTTCAGGAAGGTCTTGAACGAACGGAATGGTTGCCCAAGCCCACGAAATGACAATCCTTCCCTGACTCGGCGTCCAAAGGGTGGAAAGCACCGCTTCAGAAAGAAGGCAGATCTTGCATTTCCAAAGAGATGAAAGCACCTGAACGACTTCTTATCCCTCAAGGTGGAAAGATCACCGAAGTCCTTGACTCAAGGTCGAAAGTTCACCAGGGAACTTATTGAATTTGGAAGAACTCCGTTCAATCGGAGTTGGGAGTCTCCTTTTCCCTGGAAGAGGTCACACATGGCGGCGTTCAAATACAAAGCAAAACCACCCTGCTTGACCTCCCTCCAAACGAAAGAGACCTCCCCTAAACGGAGGAAAACGGACTACACAAACACAATGTGTATATATATATAGTTATATAAATATAATTAAGTAAGATATGTAATACACGTAAATAACATATATAAAGATGCCCACCGGGGGCGTTAGTTCATCTATACTGAATATATCGAAAGAGTATGGTACACAGCTCGTATGGCCCATCTATGTCAGCTCGCTCCGCGGAACGTCACTCGGCCCCTTCTCCGAGACGCTGAGCGCCAGGTGTCGCTGCTCACGGCTGAGCAGTTTCAGGAGACGATGGGCTTCGGCTTCCATCTGGGGCATCGCGGCGTGGCGTAGCAGCAGTCGTAACTGCACCAACTGGGTGGTGCCAGGACGTCTCGGATTGGATTGGGGGTGTCTGAGTCTGGATGTGTCTGGACCTAACCTGACTAACCTGAGGTTTTTTTGGGGTGTGGGCGTTGTGGCAGCAACCTGCAACTCACGTGAAAAAGGGATGGCGTCACACAGTTGTTCTGTCCAATAGGGGCAATCCTTGTCCCATTCCGTCAAAAGTCAGGGAGGTTTTTAGAAGGGAAGGACTTCCAGAAACTACGCGACCACGCCACGGGATATCATGCGGTTTGATTACCAAGTTTGTAGCTGGTTGTGAACTGCCATATCCCGGGTGCTCCTTTAACAGGAGGCCAATGATTTACCGAACATCCGATCCTATCCCGGAAACTGGCCAGTGTGCTGGTCAAAGGGGGATCCTAGAAATGGAACCCCCAAAAAGTGTATCAAAAAGTGCACCCCCTAAAAAAAAAGATGATAATAACACAAACCAAATCCTGGTTGCTTTCGGCAACCCTCCACTTTCTGAGCCGCCATGTCATCCCCCCAGTCCGTCCACCGAAAACAACCGCCCCCACCTTGGCTCTGCCCACAACGGTGGCCGATGCCGTGACCGCCGGCGAAGCTGTGACTGGACCCGCGGCTGCGGGTGCCGCGGCGGCAGCGGAGAGCTGGTCGAAGGCCTCGCACGCAAGGGCTCGGTGTTGGGCCACCCTGTCATACCGGTGAGAGGCGGCAGCTGTTGACGGAGAAAGGTGGAGTCATACACTGTACACATTCCTTGTGTAGGTCAACATGAGGCAGTGTCTCGATTCACCAACTGTTTGGAATCTACCCTCCCTGATTCGATCAAATCCTCGCCATCCGACCAACAATAAGACCAAAAACACAACCGAACATCTTGGAAATCCTATGGAATTCCTATGGATTCCATGGATTCCTATGGATTCTTATGGAATTCCTATGGAAATCCACACATCCAAAATGGTCCCATCCAAAACCCCCTTTTGGCCATTTCTCTCCGCACCAAACCCCTCGCCTCGCCTGGAAGATGCGATCGAAGCGCTGGGCACTGCCGCCGCGATCCGGATGGGCCTGGGGTGGAGGTCGGCCCTGAGGACGAGAAGAAAGAGCGCCTGTTTGGGGGGTAGACACGGTAGACCTCGGTGGCCATGCATGAAAAGAACTCCCATCATGTAGAACTTCCCCGGCCTTGAGAGGTGTTAGCGTGAGCTTTAGCGTCATCCCTGATGATCGTCAAGGGGTCACTGTCGAGTCACCGACGGTTTCAGCCCTCCTCCTGTCCTCCCACCCCCCCGAAGCGCCTCCAAGCCTTTCACCTGGAAAGCACGGCTCAGCTCCAGCTGCGTGGCATCTTTGGCCACGCCCAGCAGCTCGGTCGCCATGCGCCCGCGCAGCTCGGTCGGCGCCCTCGCTCGCACGGGATTGGGTCTGGGGGTCGACAACTAGAAACGTCGAGGGGAACTGCACTGTTCCACATATACGTTATCTAGTTCCAGTGTATATATATATATATTATACACCTGGAACCAGTTATACCTAGATACCTAGTTCTAAACTGCACTGTCAATACCTTATCTACTTATTCTAAGGATTGAAAACCAGGTTCAGCTCACAGTGTGATTGCCTTCCCGGTGCTAACCCCCTGCGCCCCACCGAGCTAAGATGACGGCAGCCGACGATGCAAGGCTCACCATGGAAAAGAACACAAGATATTGATGTCCCAGGAGTTACAAAGAGGGTGGCTTTTTGAGTCTAGGTGAGTGGATGTGACAGGGGCACGTCGTTCTTTCCTCCAAGTTCCGCACTTTCCTCATGGAACATGTCGATGTCAGGCTTGGATGCTTTCGAGGTTGAAAGAGTAAGATCCTCCCCTCCGGGGGAAAAGCGAAGGTCCTGGTTCCGGAGACATCAGGTCCGGAAGAAACGAAGGAAAAAAGCACCGCACCAGTAGAACCTGCCACTTGTACAAGGGAATCTGCTGAAAACAACGCAAAATCTACTCCTTCCCGCATGGCCTGACTCCTCGACTACTGGGCCCACCGGCCTGCTGGCACCTGGACGGGACGACAGGTCCGACAGGTCCGACAGGTGCCAACAAACGAGGTCTTCTCCAGCTTTCAGTGCTGAAAGCGGCATGCAGTCCTCCAGGTCTTCTCCCAATTCGTACTTGCGATTTGAAAAAAATCAGGGACCAAACACACGTACTAATGGAGGAAAATGGTCCCTTGGAAGACTACTTTCCTCAACGAACAATGGGTTTTCCACTTCCAGTGAGTCGGAGTATATTTAACTAAATCCTCCTGCTCCCTCCCCGGGTGGATGATGCTGGGGAAATTTGGACCAACGGTTTTCCTCTGCCGCGTATTACCATCCCAACGTCTCAAGAATCGGAAAATGGCCCGAAGGAAAAAGCACAAAAAGCTTTACTTGAATAACTCGAATGTGTTCTGAACTGAGCTGAGAAATTTGAGTTTTGAGCCCCAAAAATGGCTGATGGATCGTTCAACAAGACCCTCCCTTGATTCCAGATGATTCAAGTCCGAATGTCACAGGGTGGCTTCTGTCTACAACAAAACACCGGGCACAGCCATCTCTGATCCAAGACCTCGCCACACGACAACCCGCATGTTGATTTGCGGAAGGGTCTATCCTAGTCATGATCATGTTGATGTTGATTTGTTGGATGAAGGGACCAATACCTATTCTAGTTGCTGTGACATACAGGATCTCCACTGGGAAAAAAAGCTTCGTTGGACTTCACCCTTAGCCACAACTATAGCCATCACAATACCCCACCATCTTGCCGAATTGCTGCGATTGTGACATCCTGCTGAATATTCTGCAGGACATTCTGCTGAACTGCTGACATCACGACATCTCAGTTGTGCTGCAGTTCCTCGGATGCAATATATTTCAGCACCCGGCCATCTTGCTGAATCGCGAACACCACGAAACCAAGCTACCCACATCATGAAAGCAAAGCTGTTTCGCAGTTCGTCGGAAGCATACTTCAATGCCCAGATATTCTGCTGAACTGCTGACATCACCAACTCTGCAAAAACTTCCAAGCTCAGCTGAGGAATGCTCAACTCGGCATAAGAATAAAGCATGTTCAATTGCACGATATTGCTTCACTGCTGACATCACTATGTTCTTGCGCCTCTGCGGCTTGGCTGAGGCATGCTGCAATGCCCGACCATCTTGTTTACCTGTCACTATGTCATTCTGCAGCTACTGAAGCATGCTGCTTTTGCCAGGCCAGGCCGCACTCAACAACAATTATCATGAAGTCTCTGTCCCATCTGTAGGTCTCAGAGTCACATCAATAGGCTTCAGTCCTCCATCAATAGGCTTCATGAGTGCATGTTCAAGCAGGCACGCTGCCTTCACCAAAAGGCACGATGGCTGCCTTCACCCGTGGCTCCCTGCCCGCGCGAGCTTCTTTGAGGCAAGAACTGGTGTCGGACAACCGCACACCAGCATATGGATGGGGATCTTCTCTAGTACCAGCACCAGCACCGAAGGCATCGCACGGCGGTGTGGAATCCCTCCAATCCTTCGTGGCCCCAAGGCCGCTGAAGGTCGCCAGCCAGTCGGCAGGGAGAAATCCTGCTCGGACGCCCCAGTCGTCACCCAGAAAGTCGCTTCTGCTGCCGAAGGACTTCCCAGATGGCTGCTATAGGCCCTTGCGTGTGAGCTTGCGTGTGAGTTGTGAGCTTCGTGTGCACTTCCTCACTTCGTTGCATGACCAGTGCAAAGACTGCATTCAAAAGCCTAAGGGCTTTTTCACGCAGGCATGAAGTGTAGCTGGATTAGGTTGGCTCTTGCGACAGATTTCTATCACGTGAAGGAGCATTGGATGGGATTGTGTCATGCGATGAACCACTGCTGCACAACTGCCTTTCCAACACTTCTAGGATAAACCACGTGGCTTAGTTGCTTTAGGACTCAGATAGATTTGACTCAAGAACAGAAATCGCTTTTGTTCAGATTTGTTCCTCAAGCATCTGCTACCCCAAACACACCTGCGAGTGAGTATCGGAGTCCCTGCAACCAACGAGGTTTCATCTAGGATTCTCTGGGTCGCTCTAGAGATCCTCTGGGTCCACATCGAGCGACAGCAGACTCAATGGGCTGCTCGTCACCTCCAATGGGCTGCTGGTCCGCGCCAGCTGCATGCCCGCTGGGGCTGCGGCAGTGATTGACTGGCAGCGGTTTGAGGCTTGAGTTCGTGAATGGAGACCAAAGACCAACAGGATAGTCAAACCGCTTGAGCTAAGTATATATACCCCTCACGCTAGCCAATCTAGCTTGAGCTTGAGGCTTGAGGCTTGAGCTAGTGAATTGTCTATCAATCAGTCCATCTATCTGTCAATATAAACTGCTATCTACCATCGACGTCTTTCTCGTGTCTATCAGGAGCAGATCTGGTTCCCTTCGCGTGTTCCAGGGTAGGAAGGACGCGTACTGTGCATGGCTGAGAAAGTGTCCCATCATCTGCCGGAAGATGTCGAAGAAACTCTTGAGATCTCTTGAGAGTCCCCATTCTTGGGTCCAAAGAAACAGAGTATATGAGTTTCTTCACATCTGAATGTCTGGCATGGGGGCACCATCCAAATTGTCCATCGTTGAAAACCACATGCATTGGACACCTAGTCACTCAGCGTCATTGAAGCTTTGACAGCGTTTGGTCCGGATGAGAAAGGACCAGCCACCATAGCACCAGTCCAGTCAGGAGTCGTCTTTTTTAGCTGTCAGGAGTTACCGGCCATGGCCGCCCATGGAGCCCGATGACTCGGCTTGACTCGGCATGGGCCGCGGTACGTAGTGTGCGGGGTTGCCGCTACTGTGGGCGGTCATTCAAGGCCCGGGGTAAAAAGAAACTGATTCAAAGCCCCACATGGGTGTGACAATGGGGCCGGCCCTGCCTCTTGAAACAAAACTCTCGTGATGGATGGTCAAACATCACAAAAAGATCTCCAACTTTCTTGAGGCTTTGGTCAGGTACCCCAGAGATTGTACAGAACATTGCTCTGGACGCGCACAAAACAAAAGAAAAATAACATGCTTGGGGAACAATCTTGCAGCACTTCATCCCGAACCTGGTGCTCAGAAGAGAATCAGGGTGGCTGGAACGTAAGGAATCTCCATTCGGGGCTCATTCCCCCATTGAGAATCAGGGAATCGGGAATCGCTTGATCTCCGTCAGGGGGAATCAAATCATATCAATGGAGATCGGGTGGCTCCAATCTCTTTGGACCCATCAGTTTGCTTCGAGTTCGAAGTCTCTGTTGGAGAGATTTAAAGGAAAAACCGTGACCAAGGAACCAGGAACCAGGAACCAGTTCACCAAAGCCCCTGGGTCATCAAAGTATGGGTGACCCACGGTGACCCACGGAACCTCAGGTCTTCCAGGCGCGCCTCCAGACTTCTGCTGGAGCGTCGTGCCAAGGGCTGGGACCCGGTGGCCTGGAGCGGGTCAAACAACCGCCAAGGCGTAGACGGATAGACGGACAATGTGGGACAATGTGGGCTCCCTGGGTCACGAGATGTTGACATGGTTGAATTGAATTTGATTGAATTTGTATGATGTGTGTTCTTTGAGATTGGGATTCTTTGGGATAGTGTTCTTTTCTCATTCGATTTGGACAGTGCTATGGGAAGGGGTTCTTGGGACTTCTTGAACCTCTCCTCTCTAAAAGCAAATTTAGCTCGGCCAACCCTGGATGTGAAGCGAGGTGAGATTCTGGGTTGCATTCCCAGCTGTGGTGGCAACCACGCTAGTGTCTATTCAAGTGTCCATAAATGTGTCTGACTGTAATTACACAGGGCAGCGCTAATAAACATCCCTTTTTTTCCCGCAGGCCCCCAAATAATCTCTACTTCACTTCACCTTCAAACATGAATTGCCTGTGAGGAAAACCAGCAAGCTTCAGCATGGAAAATGATTACATTTGGTCAGCTCTTCTGCACCCTTTGTTTGAGGGCTGGTGAGTCTGGGCATGTGCCTGGGAAGCGGCAGGTTTTGGATTATAGGGCAAACCCTAAATGATGTGTCAGCAGCACTGGTGCTGGGCACGCGCTCTGCGCACAAGAAAAACAGACCAGGAAAGGAAACCTGAAGACAATGGGTGTTCCACCTTCTTGGGGCAGAACGGACAAGGACAAGGATTCAAAATCACTGGGAGTCGTGATTCTATCACTTTGTGAGTTTTCTCCTCACTCAGCAAGGACAAGGAGACCAAACCATTTGACTCCGGACTTGTTGACTGGTAGAGTGTCGGGAATCCACTCGGATCGTCTGGTGCGTCTCGATCGTCCAAACCGACAAACACAACCTCCTCAACTTCTCTTCTTGGATTGCAAGATCTAGCCACACAATGGTATGTCAAGTCAAATTAGTATTATACATATAATTATGTGTATATATATATTATATGCACGGTGCATATATATATATATATATATGCAAGCCCCTGAAATGTCTACCTCTTTGGTCTTCTAGCCTGGTTTTTAGTCATGAGGTTTGAATGCAAGAATCTAAGCAGAACGGCTAGATATGGGCAGATGTTTTCCAAAGTAGGGAAATTAGAGAACAAAGATGCCATTCAGTTCATTTGGCTAGTCGTATCTAATGCAGAAAGCTGATGCATCGTCTTCGACATCGTGATCTTCGGGTTCATCTTCGACGAACTCCTCGGGGTCGGGGTCATCTTCGGAATCTTCGGACGAAGGCGAGCCAGGCAGGGCCCAATCAAGGCGTCATGGCAGAAGCAGATGAGACATATGAGAGTGTTCCGAATCCTGCACTGGGTCCTCAAAAGGGTAGAAACGGATTTCTCAGACGCAGAGGTGGTGGAACCACCTGCAAAATAGCGATGTATGCAACTCGAGTATGATTTTGATACGCTCGCTCTGCCAAAAGCTATGCCACCAATGTCTCCAGCGTACTCCACGACCGAGTCGCACACAAGAAAAAGAGTCAAAATCAACGGGAAGTTCAAGTGGATGGCTCCGACCTATGTCCAGATCCAGAACCACAAGGTTCCTGGCACCAAGACGCCTCTAAGTGTGAAATCAGGCACCTAAATCATAGACCGCTGCTGGCGCTATTTAAGGGATAGGTTGAACATCAACCAGTGCGGTTTGTTGCGCATGCAATTGTGATCAGCTGAATATGAGTTTTGGCTGCGGGGTCAGGACCTTTGGACTGCAGCTGGTTCATTGGTCAAACGGTTCATGGCAGAGTCCTAGCGGGCCATAGCTCAGGAGCCAACAAAAAGGGGAAAAATGTGTGTGAGGGCATTCTTGCTGCGCCTATGAAGACTCATACACTCACTGCATACTAACTCGAGGTATGCAGCGAGTTTATCATGTATGTCTTCGAAAAGGGATCAAAGGTGGATCTCAGCGGGGCTAGCTTATATATAATTATATATATATATATATATCCATCCCCGCCCTGCAAACACATGAGCTGCGTCTATGTGCGTTTGCGAAAGAAATTCCGTGTGCCGCGGACTTGAGTGCTCCCATGGCTCAAATCCAGTTGCCTCAGCCCCCTTGTTCAAATCCAGTTTGAAAACGTGGGTCCCCTCCTGCAGGACCGGACCGGAACGGAAAGAGACGGAACCAACGCGGGATGAGACATGATATCGTCCACAGGGCAGGGCATGAAAAATCGCTTGGAACGCTCAAAATCCCTCAACAACGCTCAGAGTAAAGACCCATACAACACACAGCCAATTCACTCAACCTACTCGTAAAATATACTCTGGTTGATTCATTCTGTGCTGTAAGAAGTGGGGTCATATAATACCATGTTGGATAGTTTATATGCATCAACGTGTCTGTTATTTTCGGTCAGAAAACCATTGGCAGGAAGCCTCCAGTGCATGTCTTCTTACACGTCTAACTCCTTGATGGACATGTGTTGCCTCAATTGCTGGCGATGCTTGGCACCAGTCAACCAAGCCAAAGAAACCGAGAAATGACTGCGCGTCAAAAGTCAAAACCTACCTGGAAGGTCGTTCGCTCCATGGTGGACCAGGGCTCCAGGTTTTGACCCATCCCCAAATCAAAAGGGCTCCCGAATCTGCAGGTGTCTGAGAGTTCTTAGTCTGTGGATGCACTGTACACCACATCCTTAAAGGCTCCTTAAAGGCAACCTTCTCCTTGGAAGGCAGCCGTAGCACCGCATCCTGCGTTCCGGCGTGCGGCTATGGCGGGACCCCCCCCAAGCTGACCAAGGGAAGCTGATTCAAAAAATGGATGCAGGAGGAAGAATTCCATGGATTGATTACTTCTCATACTTCATTTGTAGTCCGCGTTAATTAAGTAGGCGCCTACTTATATAATTGAGTAAGGGAGTAAACAAGCTGCTAGCTACTACGACGCTACTACCTACCAGACGCAGGATAGCTCACGCTTCTTCATGGAAGCTTTTCCCGCCGCCCCAAAGGCGGCGGGGGAAGATTCCTGGAGGAAGCGCTCGCACTGATTTGCTTCCTAGATTTTTAGGGAAAATTAACCTTATTCTTCTGTAAAATCCGTTGATCCACATCCTTTGGTTTCTGTGAGCCGACGCGACGAAGCACGGATCGCTCTCGCAGAAGGACGGAAGTGCGCTTTTTGTTGAGCGTATTGGTGGTTCGAAAAAAGGGGTGGGGCACGGCAATCGCACAGACTTTGGGGCTCTAAGGTGGTTCTTTTCAGTGGATTTCATGAGGATTCTAGGATATTCTAGGGTACCTATGCCCCCAGGTGAAACAAGAGGCGAACATGGATGTGCCAGCTTGCGTCCACTGCCATTGCCATGATCTTGGTGGAGTCAAGAGGAGAACATCTCCATACCTGACACGACAACGCCCCCGCCTCCTCCGTGCCTGCCACACCTCAGCGAATCCACAACAGGACCAATCCCCAAAAAGGAGTCTGCCACAGAATTGCTCCTTACAAGATATGAAAGAACAACGCTAACAACGCTGTGGCTCGCCTTGACTCTTCTGGGCCGAGGAGTCTTCGGCATGATCCTTTGAATCTGATCCTTTGGGAGCCGAGAGGCAACCATTGATGCTGACGACACGCTCAGGCCTGACGAGGAGACACTCGTCTTCATCGGAGTGTCGTCTGGATCGGAGAACGGCTCAACGATCAAGGATCAAGGGAAGTGGCATGGCTTTTTCGTGCGTGGTCTCAAAATGTCCCAAGTCCCGTTTTCCCTTTATTTCCATGTCACCAAAAATCAAGAACGACGCCTTCTTGGGCCACACCGCAGCGGACGGATCCCTTCCTACTCCCGCCCTGGGCCGTCCGTCGCACGGATGCTGAATGGACTCCACTTGACTGGTCGATCGAAAGTCGACGAAAACACCCGTGCACCGCGACTCGTCGGGGAACAGCGACGCGTCGAGGTGGGGTCACTTCGAGTCCACAGCCGGGGTCCGCGTCGGCGAACTTGCTTCACACATAGCAAACCGCTTCGGAGATCCAACCAAATCGCCCACAGGTGCGTGACCAGTCTGTAGAGAAACTATGGAACGGCCCCAAACTGAGTTGACGAGTTGCACACAAGCTCCGTTTCATCAACTTCTGATCAAATCGCACCACTGTTCCTCTTTGACGCGACTGCTCCTCGCTCGCTAGTCCCTTCCGCCCCCGCACATGCGCGGCCGATCCCAGGGTGGAGGCCTCGGGCGTTTTCGGGGTCAAAAGCACACGGTTGGATGGGATTGGGTGGAGGTTGGATGGGGTTTTGGGCGGAGGTTGGATGGGATTGGGTGGAGGTTGGATGGGATGGGATTGGGTGGAGGTTGGATGGGATTGGGTGGGGTTGGGGGACTTGGGGGAGATGTTTTAAGGATTTGTGGTGATATGGCAGTGATTCCATACTGGGGGACGGGACGCTGGGTCAGTTTTTGGCCACCGAAAAAGAATAGAGTTACTAGACTCTAGACATGATCAACCCATACAGTATTGTCAGATGTTTCTGGGATTTTCTGGGATATTGTTGAGATGGTTGTGGGGACCCACTATAGTTGATCTGAAACGGCAAATGCCAGCAATTGGCCACCCTTTCTGAAGGGGGAAGAAACCTCTGAATCAAACGACATTGTTTGCTGTTGGTCAGATAGGTTGTGTCTCGTTAGGAGGGGTGCATTAAATTGTTCCAGAATGCCCTGCAAATCGCATCCACCCTTCCACCTCTTTCTTGAGCTGGACATGTGGTTGTGCTTCAACTGAGAATCAGTGGGGTTCCCGGACCAAACCCAAAACCAGGAGCCAAACCATAGGTTCTCTTCCCATAACCACTGCTCTTGACTCAACCCTTGACCCTTGACCCTTGGCTTCTCCAGTGCTGCTGGGTTCACCCCAAGGACGTGTGATGCCAGAACTCTCGGCCATCAGGGCCTGGCGGCTCGGGGGATGCGGTGGAGACAGGGTGTTGGTGAAGCAGGCTTGCCTATGGTCCTTATTTTCGAGTGACACGCGTCCACATTTTTCTGCCAAGCATCAGTGGTCAAGTGGCTCTTCCAATGTTTTTCAAGCCATAGACTTGAGTGACATCAAGTCAAAAATGCCTAACCTCATGTCACATCTCAATGTGAACCAGACAAAACAAACACACATAGACTACATAGACAAAGAATAATGGGACACGTCAGGAAGTTGATTTAAAAAACAGAAGAACGCGCCAAGGAACAGACTAGCTAGTTAACCTACTCCGTTTTGGAGGGGGAGAACCTGGCAGTTCTTGGTTTCTACTGCTCCCGGCTGGACTGTCCGACTCGATTGGCCTTGGTGTTTCACCCAGCCCTCTGCCGGGAGATCACTGAGCACCGGTGGCCTAAGTGCGCGGCGTGGGATGTAGACTCTTGGTATAAACCCCCATGTAAAGAGGTCTTTCAATTCATGTCTGGGGGGGCTTATTAATCAAGACATGAGTTTATGAGTTGAGTCTACATGAGTCTACATGAGTTTAACCCCCCATGTAAATAGAGTCTACATGAGTTTATGGGTGTAATTATACTCTATTTAAAGGCTTACGCCTGACACCGGGCGCCGGCCGACACGGGAGAGGGAGGAAGGAGGGGGAGTAGGGGGACGGACCTCAGACACACACACGCACACATATAGACATACATGTGTAGGATGGATTGTTGCGGTGGTTCTGGTTGTTCTCTTGGGGCCCGGTCGAACCCATCTTTGGGCTATGTGGTTGGGGCGATCTTGAGCCCATTTTGGGGCTATGTTGGGCCATCTAGGGCCTATGTTGGCCGACCTTGGGCCGATGTTGGCCCATCTAGGGCCTATGTTGGCCCATCTTGGGCCCATGTTGGCCCAGCTAGGGCCTATGTTGGGCCATCTTGGGCCCATGTTGAGCCTATCTTGGGCCTATGTTGGCCTGTTGTTGGATGGACATGGAAGATCATGAGGCGCAGAAAACACTGTAAAACACAGGGGTCCTCACAGGTCCGCAGTGAGCACCGCAGGTCGCCGCCTGGGGGCGCGCTCGTTAGTTACCTTCGGTAACCAACCGAAGGCCTCCGGCTAGGACACGGCTCGCCTGGCCGGCGCCCGGATATAATAGGGAGACCCCCAGCCAATGTGTTGCATCTGGCCGCCAAACAGATGCCAAGCAAATTGACCCAGAGATACGTCTGAAAGCTCCCCCACCGATTCCCAAGCAGCCTTGGTTGGTGCGAGAATGCATCCAAATGGATATCCCTAGAACCTGACCTCGACTTTGTTTATCTCACACCACCCCAAAATCGAGTCTTATTTGAAGTGCTATTTTCCTCAAAGAAACCGCTGGGTCACTGACCTTTGGCTTCGAGGTTGTGTGTGGAGAACCGGACTGCAGGGTGATCTTCCCTTGCAAACCGCTCGGCGTCGTCCCTCATCTGGGCGCGTCGCCCCAGCGGCGAATCCGCCCTCGGCGTGAGGCGAAAGCAGTTATCGTAAGTTGACCAGTTGTAGAAATGGAAGCATGCGTTCTCATGTTCTTCTTCTTCTTCTTCTTCTTCTTCTTCTTCTTCTTCTTCTTCTCCTGCTTCTTCTTCTTCTTCTTCTTCTTCTCCTGCTTCTTCTTCTTCTTCTTCTTCTCCTGCTTCTTCTTCTTCTTCTTCTTCTTCTTCTCCTGCTTCTTCTTCTTCTTCTTCTTCTTCGTCTTCTTCTTCTTCTTCGTCTTCTTCTTCTTCCCCTTGTTGTAAAAACCATCACGTCTTCAGCAAGTGATTGCTATGATCGGCGAAGTGTGCACCACCCAAACCATACACTTCCACCACTCACCCTTTGGCCCCGCCCCGCTGAGTGGGCGGGACTCCCGGTAGCCACGTCCCACACCGCAGTACCTGGACGGAACCCGCCGGCCACTCGGGAGGGAACGCGATCGTTGCGAAGTCGGGTGGGAGCACAGGTTGAAAGGATCCCACCCGAAGAACACCGGAAGTCGCATGGAGAGAGTTCGGAACCGCCCCAAAACACCCAGCTGTTCATCAGACAGTTAATTACGCACATCCCAATCCGGGAGGGGAGATGCAGGAGAACGATGTTCTGAACGTTTCTCCTCATGCAGGCTCATGGCTTGGTGGCGCTTCCTCAGCTCACCAAACCATCCAAAGCAAGACGTCCCAGTCCGGGGCACAGTTCGTCGCCGTCGCACTTCGCAAACTCCGTGGCCGTTTCCACCCACCTGCGCGCCCGTGCAGGCTCGCGGCCCGCGCTCGCGGCTTCAGCACGGAGACTTTGGGCCGAAACCGCGCTCGAGTGCAGTCAGTGCAGAACATGGGTGGGGTGTAAATGCAGGGGCGACATGGACTGTAGGGTCAGAAGCCTTCAGGCAAACTGATTTAGGAAGTTGGGGATTCTGCAGATTCCGATCCACTTGACCTTTCCCAACAAAAAGATCTTGACCTTTTCAGGAGACTGCCCAAAAATCTTCAGATGGACCGTGAAACCAATCATAAAATCTGGGCCACAGAAACTATCCCACACTCCAAAACGCTTCAAACAACCACATCCTCCAACAAAACGCCCTTGATCCTCTTGATCCTCGTGCTTGACGGAACGGGCCACGGCCACCGTCTCTCTCGGGTCTCGTCCCTCTCCGTGCCTCACGGGGGCCGCGATGATCTGCCGGAACCTCCGAGGATCTGCTGCGGGTTCGGTCAGATCGTGTGGCGCGCGGTTGCCCTGGTCCGGAAACCCAGGGCCATGGCCAGGCCTTGCTATAATATGATCATTCAACCACAAAAAGACTCAAGGAAACCCCTCCCATTGGCTCTACAAATCCTACAATCTACAAGTCTCTGGTTCTCGGAGTCCCTTTCCTCTGAGTCTCCCAGCGGATCAGCTACCCGCTCCACCAAGGGCCGCGACGCACGGTCACGGCGCAGGAGCATCGCCTAAGGGAAAGACCGCGCGGACCCAAAGGAATGCTCCACAGCGGAGGTGGATGCTATGCTAATGTAGACTCTCGATTAATACCCCCCATACAAAGAGGTATTTCAATCCAAATGGGGAGGGTTGATTAATCAATAGTCTACATTATGTGCAGTTGAGCAATCTGCCATCGGCAATTCCAGTCCAGTTCAACTGTCACTGAGCGCTGCCTGTGGGTCTGCATTCATGCTGAACTTCACCAGCAAATGCCCCGCAGCCTCAGCAAATTGCTCACCCAAGCACGTGATCCCCCACAAAGCTTATCACCAAAGAGCCCTCCCACAAATCCCACTTGAGTTGTTTCTACTGGCCACGATGAAAATCAACCAACACACTCCCGAAGTACAACCCCACCAACGCTCCACACCAAGGAGCTTGGGGTCTTTGTTGAAGTGGAGGTCTTCCGTACTCTGAAGCTCTGAACCAAAGCACCCCGCCTGACCGAGGACGAAGTCCCCCGCCCCTCCAGCGCCACCCACATGGGTCAACCTGGGCGGGAGAGCTTGGCAGCCAGGTTTGGTACCAGCAACTCCGTTCAAGCGAAAGCGGCTTCGGCAGCTGCACTCGGGACGACGTGACCATGAGGGTGCCATAGACCCAACGGAGGGTGCCATCCACGTCCATTGCCGCTCTTTGCTCCGTTCGTAGCTACGGCCAGGAGCTACGTTCGTCGCGTCCGAACGCTCCGAACGTAGCGATGCTCTTGTTCCCAGTAGAATTGAATGTTAGTTCCAGGGAGAGTAATGCTTTTCCGCCCAGAGCTTCCTCCAAGCACCGCACGGGAAGGGTAGGACTGGCGTCTCCCAGGAGTAGGTGCCTCGTTTCACGCTCAAATCGAGAGGAAAGCGAATCCTGCGTCTCCCAGCCCATGGGGGCGATCGGGCTTCGGTTCTTTCGCATGCTCTCGCGATCTCAGGAACCGATCTCAGGTGCGGTTGAAGAGAAAGGAAAGATCCTTTTTTGTCACTGGCGATGCTCAACAAGTTGACACCAAAGAACCAAAGACAGAGAAGCAGTCCATGTCAATCCTGGAAACGGCGCTGGAAAGGGGCGGCGCAGTGTGGGGTAGATCTAGCGGCCTTTCGAGGCCAAGCGACCAGAGATGAAGCTTCCTTCGGAAACAGGAGATGAATCATGGATGACTCGTTCGCCTTTATCGATGCCAAACCCCAGGGCCGGCCTTGCAAGTGGCCAAGTGAAACATGAACATAAAGTCACCCCCAAAAGACCCCCCAAAGAAAACAATTGCATATAACATCCGACCAAAGAGACTCTCTAGTCTTTTTGTCTGCACCAACAAAAAGGACACCTGTTTTGCGACCCACCCTGCTCTTCCAACCCCCGCGGGGCACCTTTCCGTCTGGGCGTGGTATCCACCTGATGTCTGGTGGAGTCGCCTGATGGGCAGTGACCGCTGAACCTCTCGAAGAACCGATCAAACGTTCCTGTGGCTGTGCTGTGCCTCGCGAAGAACCTCGCGAATTCAGCGTCCAAGGACTTTCAACCGTTGGCACCAAGCTCCACGTTCACTGACTTCGACCAAATGCAGCGAACAACAAGTGAGCCACTCCCTCTGCGAGGGAACACCAAAAAGGAGAAGGAAGGACGTGAGTTCTTCACTCGGTTAGTTCTTCACTCGTCAGTGTGTGCGTGTGTTGGGCCAAATGCTTGGACTCAAATGGACTGCTCTTTTTCAAAAGAAACCCTTGGAACCGAGGTTAGAAGCTTCGCCACAAAGCAATGGAGAAAGCATGAACCCATGGCATCAAGGTCTGCCCCTTTGAAGGCCAACAAAAAGACTTTCTGTTGCATGTCCTTCAGCTGTACAACTGTAGAATCATTGTCACTAGCCTGACCAAACAACAAACACGTTAACAGCCAAGAACGTCGTGTCCACGGTGACTCAGACCACGGTCGCACCTGATTCCTCAGACGCGACCTGAGGGAGACAGAAAGGAATCACTCCGGTGGATGATCGGGAAGGCCTCTACTCGACCTCTACCCAAAGAACATCATGGGGGCAGGAGCCTTGCTCTTTCAGTCCGTAGCTTGATGAAGTGATTCTTGTGCGTCACCTGTGTCCAAATCAACCAAGGCAACCCATGACAGCGGAGGACGAATGAACCCAAAGACAAATCGCCTGGTGATCCTCTTGTTGGCCACTTTCCTGCGAAGTCCCGTTCAGAACCTGTGAAGCCTGAACCTTTGTTCTGTGGAAACCGGTCACCTCTTCTGAAAAAACCATTGCTCACCCGAAAAAAGGCCAGGAAAGTTTGGCTTTGCAAAGGAGAATTCTCGTGTCACACGTCCCAACCCACCAGGCAGGGACCCGCACGCACTCCGGCAGCACCTGCTTCTGAAGCTCCACGGAGCACACGCCCACGTCCCGCGCCCTGGCCGGTGGAAGGACCCGCTTTGCACCCAGGCCTTTCATCCCTTTCCCAATAGGTTTTTAAGCCTTTTCGCCCAGCTCTTTCATCCAGCACCCCTTCTCAACCATCGTACTAGACACCGCACGGTCCCCAGGCCGAAGCGGCGGCGCTTGTTCGGCCTGGTGAGATTCACTTGAAATGGCCCAAAGCGGACGTCGCTGTAGGTGTGGATCCAGAGCTGCACCTGCCACAGCGCGCGCATCAACCGGGTCCGTTTCGGTCCGTTCGGTGCATTGTTGGTTTTGATGGTTGCCACACAATGGCAAAGCGTCCCAAGACCCTCCAAAAGGCTTGCTTGGTGCTTTCCCTGTCCAAAAGGAGGCTGGTGCTTCTTGCAACACCAGGGCGCCGTCTGGCCGGCCAGCACATCCGCCACGGTCACAGCGAAGGTGAGCCTCAGCAGGCTGTTCGGATGGCGCGGACTGGATGGGCGCGGAGGAAGGTTGCGCTCAGGTGCTGATGTTTGATGCTTGACGGTAGGTGCACTCCTTGAAATCATCATGGTGGAAGTGCCTTGCCCCGATTGCGGATGACTATTTTCCGAAGACCAAAGAGGTGGTGAATTCCACTTCCATGTTAGTGACTGGGAGTGTACCAAGTAGATCCCATGGGCTGTGGTCGGTTCTAGTAAGCGGTGGTCAGCGTTCTTCTTCGCTGCGGTGGTCTTCCGCCCGTTTGCCAATCGTTGAAGGCAGTACGAACCTGAATGAAGTCCATGTTTTGGGATCATCAACCTCCCCAAACATGATCTTTTCCTATCAATACTACAGGTCATGTCGGGCCCGAAGACACGATAGTACCATCGCACACTCCACCTCCGGAAAAAGCTGACACTAGTGAATGTGAGTTCTGAATTGTCTCTCTGCTCCACATTTGGAGACACTAGACTCACCTACCCTAGCAGCTAGCATAGCTCTTCGACCTAGACAGTTTGAACCCACAATCCTCAATCACAGTCTTGTGGATGACACCACAAATGATTTGGATCGCGGACCCTCATATGGAGGGGTCCGAAGTCTCTAATCCCTCGGTTTTGAGGGACCAGTCGGGCGTCGTTCACGGAGCGTCTGGGCGGTGAGATGAATATCAGGCCATGGGTGTCCGGAAAGGCTCCAAAGAATCGTCAGACTAAACGAAGTAGATTCTACCAGCACCTTCCGACAGGTCTCCGAAATGGAGGGTTGTGGTTGTTGTTAGGCCACAGCTTTCAATTGGTGATTTGTTGGAGGTGCTGGTACAAATATCTACAGTACCTTTCGTAGATGTTCATATGCATTGTGTCATATGCCTCCAGCCCCCCAAGGATCCGGGCGTTTCGTTGAACTGCCAATCGCAGGGAGGCAAATCCTCGCATCCGGGTCCTCACACCAACCGCGCGCGGATTTGGGGTCTGGACCTGCTCTAGGGCGACGGTCGAGGGTGTGTGTACTTCAAGATAGGGAGAGACAACCCCCACCACTGGGTCAGAGGGGACTGGGTCAGAGGAGACCTTCCAGGGGGAACGACTGGGAGGTCTCCCCAATAAAACAACTACGCCCGGACTCTGGGTAGCGAAAACCAGTCTGCGAAAACGAGGCCGTCCAGACCGGGGGCACTGGGACCGGCACACCAGACGTCACTGGACCGGGGGTTTTCGGCACCTGGACCTGGGCCAACACCCACTGGCGAGACGGGTCCCACTGGTCTCAAAGAGTGGTATGGTGGAATCCTGGTCGGCTTACACCCAAAGAAACATGAGGGAAATCCAGAGGTTACATCTTCAGGTATAGGTACAATCTCAATTAGAAACACCATGGCTACCAAGTCTTCCCCTGTTTGGATCAATAATTGGATGTTGTGTTTTGAACTTGGGAGCTTCCCAAACGTCTCTTGACCAGTGAGTGTCTGGCGTTTTCAAAGAGGGACCGTGCCAATGTTGTGAGATGCTTGAACTTGTTTCTTTTCCCAACCTGCTTCCTTTATTTCCAACCAATGCCCCAGCTTCCTGTTCCGAACGCAGGAAAGATCTCATATGTCTCTTCCCAAACGTCACATCCATTGTCTCTCAGGGCTGAGACTCAAAAACGACCCCAAAAAAGGCCGTGCCACACCGGGTTCGCTGAGCATCTGCTTATTTAATATTTTGTATTAGTCTAGTGGCAGTGGTTTGCTTCATTCTGTGGGGGGAGAGCCACAACTTTTGTCCAAGCAGAAAGAAGAATCGAACCAAAAGCGGGCACCGTGCCGAAGACCGTCCGCCCGCCGCTCCCCCCGCGACACGTCCCGTCCTGGGAGTGCCAGGACCTCGTCTGCGTCGCAGTCGCCGAACTCGGTCTCCTGCAGGGACCGACCCCGTCTGGCCGTTGAAAGGAAGCATCGAGCGACACCATCTGCGTGTCCGTATTTTCGAAGGATCGTGCGCGGATCGTGCGCGGATCGTGCTGATTGGCCATGGAACAAATACACTGCCTGGGTCTTCAAAGTGACCCCTTTGAGAGCCTTTGAGATCCCAAGTTGAGCTCACTTCAGTCTCGTATGGCCGCGATTTCGGATGACCATGAAATCCGCATGCCAAACAGGTAGTGAACTCCACTTCCATGATGACTTCGGGGCGGCCCCAGGTTTAGCCTGCGGTCACGCACCACTGCAACATTCCGTCCAAAGGTCTCCCCCCCGTTGGCCCAAACAATTCGTGCCCGGCACGAACCAGACGAACTGGAAGACATGTGGGGCTTGACATGTGGGGCCAAGGAATTAGCTGAAGAGCGGGTGAAGAAGTGGCTCTGACTGGTGGGTTCTCGGTGGGGCTCGTTCGTCGCGGTGGTTTTGTTGGGTTGGTTTTCGGTGGTTTCAAGCCGGCTTCGGACCACGAAAGACGATTCCCCACTCCCCAAAACTCTCGATCAGGTGCCGATTTCTCATTGGGTGCCATCCAATTTTACCTATTGGGTTCCAACCACCAACTCTCCTCTTGAAAGAAGCTGCGAAAAGAAAGAAAAGCTTCAGCTGCCACTGCCCCCCATAAACCTCCAGAAGAACCAAACCTCCAGATCTCTCCCGTCCTTCCGCACGCCATTCAGCAGCGCGCTCACGCGCGGCCGCTCCCGGGTGAGCAGCCCGGAGTCTGAGAGCCCTGGGATTGACCTGAGAGGTCCGGCACAGTCGGAGGAGAGTTGAGTAGGGAACCAAGAAAACCACCTCCGTCCTTAGATGTCAACTACCTTTGCAAGCCTTTGTCAACACAAAAATGTGCCTTTTTTCAAGTAAATGCATATGAAACAAGCCCTATGTCATGTTATCTTTACGGACATATTCAACAGAAATATTGTACTTCAGTGGCCAAGACTTTGGCGGATTCGTCGTCGTGACGGTTCAAGAAGATTTAACATGTTGTTGATTGTAGCTGCCATCTCTCCTGTTTGCGGTCATGTGCAAGGCCCCTGTCTAGATGGATAGATAGATAGATAGATAGATTAGATTCGATTGGATTGGATTAGATTGGATTAGATAGATAGATAGACAGATAGATTGATTAGGATAGATAGATTAGGATAGATAGACTAGGATAGATAGATTAGGATAGATAGAGTAGGATAGATAGAGTATGATAGATAGATTAGGATAGATAGATTAGGATAGATAGATTAGATTAGATAGATTAGATTAGATCAGATTAGGTTAGGTTAGACGGTTAGATTAGATTAAGAGAAGAAAAAAAAACATCTATAGATAGTATATAGATAGGACCTGTGCCGTATACCTCCTACTGTTTTGCGGAAGAATTCCTGTGCCGGGAACATGTACCACCAATCGTTCAGACCAGCGCTAGTTGCTATGGTAATATCTTGCAGTGCATGGTCAGCAAGAAGCGTGAACAGAGAGCTCTCAGTGTGCAGCCGCACAAACACATCGTTCTCTTTGGCTTCACGCGAACAACTAAGCCCTCAATCAAGGCTCGGGGGAGATTGTACTAATAAATCCCTTGTCCTCCCAAACGTTTCGCACCAGATACATATAAGATGATATAAGGTGATCTGTCGTCAACTAGCGCTTTCTCTATACACAAGCCATTCCCAGATGAAAGCCCAAGTCTTGGATATGGTTTCCCTCTGGGCCCACCACACCAAAAAAAAGATCCTCTCCTCTCATCAAGAAGGCGAACGCCCAGACACTCGGGTGGCGAAGCCTTTCTCCTTCCACCACGATGGTTCGTCGTTTTGTGCTAAAGAAGAAAAGCCGAACGGTCACAACCTGGAGCATGCTGATGCATTCAACCCTGGTTCTCCATACAAAACACACATGGTACAAGCACCGGATGACAACATCCTGGAGTAAATGGAAGCAAAAGTGCCATCTGTTAGTCTGTTCGGAGTGTTCCATTCTGCCGACCCCAGAAAAACGGACCGCGACACCAGCGGTCATAGCGCCATCGGCATCGCGGTACCACATCAGAGACTTGGCTTGTCAGATAAGGGCGGCACGTCGGATAGCCCGTCGGATGCCTTGATGCATGACGGATCATCCGTCCCGTACCCCGTACCAAATGAGTCTGCCTGTGATGACTAGCCGCCTAGCCTCCAGAATCGCACTGTCTCAGACGTCCGCAAGGACATCTCATACGCCCACGTCTCGAGTCCACTGCCCGGAGCAAATGCGCTGTCTGGATCCAGTCCGCCCGACTCCAGACGGCTCTGATCACGTGGCCACGCGCCCTGACTCGCGCGGCCACGGACTCGGCGCCACTCACGAGGAGTTTGCTCGCATCACTGGTGGGAGCAAAGTTGTTTGTTGCTGACGTTCTATGTTGCATCCAATCCTCGGGTGATGCTATCGCTCCTGGCCACATGTAACATGCAGGCCACAGTTCTGCACCACACTGCTGTGACAGTCCTTGGGCCACTGAGACTCCACCCATCCCTTCAAAGGACCCAAGCCACTCCAATCCAACCGACCCTCGGACTCGCCTCTCTCGCCCCGCGTCCCCGACCGCTGTTCGCTCCCCGCTTCCCGATCCCTGCGGGTGCCGGACGCCGCGACCACCTGCACCGACAGCTTGAAGGTCTCCGCCTCGTTGATGCGGCGACCTCGGTTGTCTTTGTGTCGAAGTGCGGAATGGTGGGAGGGAGGGAAGAGATGGAAGATCCACCAAGGAGACGGATCGGTGGGGTTAGTCAGTCTACTTATTATATGATGTTCGTCATCAATTTCAAATCACCTTCAGATGATCCACTCGGACGCCTTGTCCACCACTGATGGCAGCCCCAAGTGACCATCAATGCGTTTTAACCTTCAAAGGACGTCACCGAGATCCCAGAATGACACAGAAGAATACCTCCAAAAAAATCACGCAGGAAGTCATATGCACCGAAGAAAACAGAACACCAATTCTCTCTTCACCCTTGTGGCTCCTCACCAGCGACCATTTCGGGGTCACACGCGGTGTTCACTGCTTCTCCGTTTCCTGCAACCCGAATGGCTCAGCTGTGGAAGCTGCAGGTCGCTCAGCTTGTTCTGCACCTCAACTGCTACCGCTTTCAGCCGCAGCCGAGCTGCCGAGACGGAGGTCGAGACGTCTCTCTTTGGATGTGCAGTGTGGGAAGGGCAGTCCGAAGGGAGGAGGGCCTGGGGTTTTCCTTCTGTAGCAAGTGTCGGGCTCAGGAAACCACCGCGCATGTAAGCCTGAAACCCAGTGGGCGCAAACATGCGCAAACCCTGTGCCAGAGCTCTTAAGGACATAGGGTTCTGATTTGCTAGTTAGGAGCAAGTGTATTCAAATAGAATTTGTTGGCCTGTGCTAGGGGCCGAACAAGCTTTGAACCTCAGGCATTCTTCCCAAAAGGGTCTGAAAAGCCGGGTCTTAGTCTTTCTAGAGCAGCTTTGATCGTTTTGCGAATGACAAGCTGAAAGCAGCGTTCTCCGAGCGAAGAACATGAGAATCCCTCATCTATTGCTGTGAAATGGACTAAATCTGTTTCGAAATGGACCAAATAGCTCTCCAAGCTCTCCTGAAGGTCTATAAAATCAACCCCCTCGGCACCAAAGAGGTGTCCCCTCCGAAACTACTCCGCACCGGGTGCCGCCAGGACATGCATCTCCGCACCGGCCCCCCGCGGCACCCAGAGGCCACCGGAGAAGGCCGCAATCGCCTGGATCATGGCGCCTGCCCAGACGTGATCCACACGGCACGCCGAACCGGTCGTCTCGGTGGTGCCCGCAGAGACGCGGGGAGCGAGCGGAGACGCTCTTCGTTCTTTGACCTGAACTGGGAACCGAACTGGTAGGCTCTTCAACCTCTCCAGGAAAACCGTGTTCAGTGGGAAAAGGTGGAACTAAGGTCTGACTTGAAAGGAACAGGTTCCTTTCGCGCATGGAGTCATAGAGCTCCCAGCAGTTTCGGATCATTCCGAATAGAGTTGCTTGAAAAGATTTCTTGGCGAAGAGCTTTCTTGGCAAGTTCGATGAGTTCGAAACAGACAGTGTCTTCCAATTCCTGACAGCTCTGAAACTCCAGAGGGGGTGCCGGAACTCCTGAAGAATGCCCAAGATGCTGCTAGATGGAAGGCGGGGAAAGTCGTCGTGGGGAAAGTCGCTTCAATCCCAACATGAACATCTTCCAATTTGAGCAGTTTCTTTGCGAGTCTGTCAAGTGGCTGGCTAGATGGAACCATCTCCCATTCACATTACATCCAGAACATTCAGGCTCCATCACTTCATCACTTCATCGCCGTCGATGGGGCTCACTTCAGAACTGCCGTGGGTGATTGGTTTAGGGCGCGTCACGGTGGGTCGTGGGTCCAGTCGTAGCTTCCGAGAAGGCATTTGGATTCCTAGGGCAAGCTGTCCACTGTTGAAGAGCACGCCGATCAAGTTCCCAAAACTGCTCTGTTCGTTTCATGCCCAGACCACCACATGGTCCTTTTTCCACGTGGTCCGACCGTGGGTTTCTCGTGGTTTTCTCGATGTTTGAAATCCACTGGTACGGACAGGTCACTGCTTTGTTCACAGATTGAAATGAGGAGGGAAGCAGCTATGATGGCAGCTACGATGCCAAAACAGGAAGAGGAAGGAAACGTCCCAGCACTTTACACATGCTTTTGTGGGCGTTCTAGGGCAAGGTTGGATTTCCAGTCTACATTGCAACCTCAAACATCCTTTTGGGACAATGGCAACTTTGGATGTTTGGCGACTCAAAAACCTGCTTTGATCACCCCTCAAGGCCAGCCCACGAATCTGGGCAACCGCACCCCACAAAAAAGGGCTGAGAACGGCGTCCAATAAAAGAGGGTCGGTTCCCTTGGGGAGCCGTACAGGTGACCAAGACAGCTGTATCTGAGTGTGCTGGTCTATGAGTTCGGTAGCCGAAGGAACATCGGAAACAAGCCTCGGGACCTTCTTAACCTATGTTGAAAAAGCAATGTGGGCGAGACATAAAAAGCTTTGACTTGTGTGCAGTCCTTGACTCGTGGCTGGGGTGGTTGAGATTTATCTGATCGAATCATTGCTCTTCTGAGCCACGGAGAGTGCGGCGATTGACAGTGTTCTCTATTGGCAGGTCTATCAACTCATGGTCAACCAGGTTGGAGGCCATCGCTATTATATAGGTTGGAGGCCATCGCTTCGCTCCGAAAAGCAATGTGTTCCTCTACATGATCCATGTGGCTATGAACTCTCGGTCGATCATGGCAAATCCAGGATCCACCACAAATTACTCAAATGAACTCCATTGTTCATGTCAACCAATTCCAGCAAGGACCCAAGCATGGGTTGGGTCTGGCTCCTGGACCACTCGCTTTCTTTTGTGATCAGTCTTCTGTGATCGCGAGGTTCGCTCGGACGAGTGAGACCTTGAATTCGCAGGATGGGTCCTTCTCATGAGGCGAACCTACATGGCTGTACCTTGTTAGGGACCACTGAGAGGAGAACCCGCAGATCTCTTCGTTCCAGTTCCGGAAGACAGATCCAGTCACCCCTCGGTGCTTCAGGCCTCGATGGATCATCTGAATCATCTGTACCCTGTCAATCCCTGCTTCATGGACAGACGATGGATGTAGAGGCCTTCGAGGGGCCTCGCCTTGCACTGCTGGCCTCGATATGTCTTGTCAACGGATCGACACTGTCACAGCGGAGGTTAGAAGCGCAGCGGCGTAGAACCCTGTACGGAGTGGTGGAGTTACAGTATTAGAACTTGTCCGTCAAGAGTAATTTTCAAGAGCAGTGACCATCTATGTACAAATTCCTGGCTCATCTCACTCTCGTCTCAGCTCATCTTAGCTCGCCTCAGCTTGTCCCAGCGTGGGGAAGAAGCACTTTCTTCAAAAGACGTAGATGTGCTCCATATTGGTCCCGGACTCCTTCCTCTTTCAGGGCCCAGTCTGACTTCTATTTTGACCAAAAACCCATGCAGTAGTTAAACCCATGCAGTAGTTGAGCTTTCCCGTGCAGACCAAAAAAACTGTCAAGACTCTTGGCTCAGGCTAGTGGTTGTTTTTGGGATATTGGCCATAAACAGTCTTATAAACAGTCTTTCGGGTTTGAGCCAAGAGTTCCTGTTGTAGGGTATACACCACAGCCTTTCCCGCTTGCAATTCATCCACCGCCCACGTGGACAGGAGGCCAACTAAGTCCGTCGCTGCGTAGTCGGCCCTGGCTAAGAGGCGAAAAGGAGGTGAGAACTTAAACTGAAGTCGCTGGAGTGGGGTTTCTAAGTCAAGATCGGCCAAAACTTCCACCTCTTTGTCAAGTTGGGTGGCCTCACTTCTGAAGTCCACCCAGAAGTGGAACTAAGCATGATGCTTTGTCGGACAATCCCCAGAATCATCAGAACATCCAAAAGGTTCCATCATTCCCTACAGCATCTCCTTTGGTCGTTACCTGCAAGAGCAAAAAACATCCCACAGTCTGCATCCATGTATCAAAATGAACGGGTCAAACAGAAGCTTTAGAAAAAAGAAACAACCATAAAGCTCCGCCGCATAATTCAGATGACCACAGATCCCGGTGGTGTTACAGATCCCACATTGTCAAAACAAACGCCTCTCTTACACTGCCCCTTCAAGCCAGATGGGTCCACACCACTGTCATGACTGTGATAGAAGAGACACGCGAGGGGCTTGATCGGTAGTATTCCTTCGAATCAGAAGTTAGATTAAGTAAGAAACGTTTAAAAAACAAAAAGGCATGAGTCATGAGTCAAACATCTGCTGCAGCATTGAAGAAAACATGAGGAATCACAAAGACGATCATTGAACTCTGTGATCTCTACGTGATCAGTTTTAGACCATCGCCACCCTGGCGGATCAGAGATTGCCAACAACTTGCGCACCGATTCCGGTCAACTGCGGTTCGCCTGGGAGAATGGAGGCGCACGCCTCATGTGAAGCGTCTCTGAAGATGAAGGGCCGAGTCGAGTCGAGTCGAATGCGTGTGCTCCGACGCTGTCCAGTCGGCTGGAAAAGGCTTCGGAAAAGGTGTTTTCGCAGGTCAGTCTTTGCGGGGAGTAGAAGCTGCCAGGTGCTGGCAGAAGAGAACCTGTTTTTGCGGAGGTCCTACGTGAAACTTGCATTTTTTCCTCCGAAAGATGTGATCCCCCCACTGTCTCGTCTCTGAACTTCAAATTTGATCCATCATGATTCATGATCCATCCATCCAGCGGCTGATCTACTTCACTGCCTCTTCGGAAGCACCAAAGGCTGAGCAGAGCGCAAGGCCAGCATCTGACGGTGCGAGCGAGGGAAACAAGCTGCCCTCCATGGCCAGGGCGCCGAGGGGACAAGAGCAAACGGAACTGGATGACGGCCTTTCTTGAACTCTTGGAGTGAGTGGCCACCATCTTTCCAACAGACCATGCAGCATATCAGCCAAGGGAGGTCAACAACAGCAGGTGTCGAAAAAAGACACCAAGAACACCAGGGTGCTTACCTGGTAAGTAAGGCTGACGATACTTTTCAAAAAAGAAAGTGTGGGTAACGTAAGGTGTATTGAAATAGGGAGACCTCCCAGTTCGACGCCCTGGAAGAAGGAAAATACAGTAGACCGACAGTAGACCAGTCTAGCCATTGGCTGGGTGTCTGCCCATTCAAATACACGAAAATAGCGATGGCCTCGATCCTAATAGCGATGGCCTCCAACCTCATAGTGATGGCCTCCAAGCTAATAGCAATGTCTCCTCATTCAAATATACACACCCATAAGAATCTCTCTAGTCATCCGCCCTCGACGACTGGCGGCCCGCCCCGGCGGCCACAGACCCCGATCGGCGCACCGCCGCGCTGCCGATCGCAGGCGTCGACCTGAGTTCAGCTGAGCGGAGCGGGTTTTGGGGCGGTTTTGCGGGGATTTCAAAGAAGCCACCTGAGCCTTGCTTTGAGAAAATGGCCATATGATGCCGTATGTATCAAGGTGTTCATTGATTTGTCGTTCAAATTTTGAGAATGACCAAGTCTCACTCAAATTTGGCTTAGATGTCTTGTGGTTTATCCAGTGGCATTTTGTGGCTTCTTCATAGGACAACTGGTCCATCTTCCAAGCATGGAAACGGATGGCAGCAGAAAAAAGGACACAAAATAGTTCGTGTTTGGTTGAGGAAAACCCTGCAATCCTATGACCAGCCTCTTTGAGAAGATCGCAGCTCAGACTGAGAGGGTCAAACCTATCTTGCGGCTAAGCCGTGTGCCCCTCGAGCTCGCCTGAAAGCCTCTGCTAGTCACAACACATCCATCCTTCTGTCAAAACACATCCGTCTGACGTTCAGACGGAGAGCCCAGTTCAGCACACCAAAACCACTACTCTGCCATCAATTCTTCATGAACAAGAGGCGAGAGAGGAGAGACAAGAGAGATGAGATCATTTGAGACTTGAAGAACGAAGAACCATCCCCACATCCCCCCTCCCAAGTCAACGTCCCACTGAGCCCCGTGCTGTGAGTGTGTCAAGGCAGGCAGTGGCCTCAGGGCGAAGTCGCGATGTGAACGTTGGACCAAGCGCGTCTTGTTGGCCCGACCCTCACACTCCGACCAAAGCCTGCGTGCTCTGCTCTTGTCGGCAGATCGTACGAGGACCCTCCCCCCTGGGCCGCCCAGACGTGCTGCGCTTGGGCAAGCGCCGGCCTGGGCGGACCAGGACCGGGCTCGGAGTGTCGGACGGTCTTCTGTTCTTGGGAATCAGGGAATGACTCGTATACACTCCAGATACCTTAGGATCCATTCCCTCATTCCTTAGGAAGCATCAGTCAATTTGTTGCTTTCTCTGCGGCTGCTTACTGTTTGTGCCCTGAAAACAGCTGGATGACCTTGCTGATGAGCTTGCATGACAAAGTATTGGGCGAAACACATGAATGAGTAGAGGTGGGTCTTTTGCAAAAATTGTGATAAAGTCTCACCAACTCATGGGAGTGTGACAGGCCCTTCAAAAACGCCTCTGTCAAGTGCTGGAGTAAATTTTGGCTCTGAAAGACAGTGCCATGAATGGTCCAGTAGCTCGATCCGCATCCTGTGATGAAGAACTGTCCTCCCGAGCTGTTGCTCCGCCGATGATCTGCAACACTGCAACACCCAGGATATTAAAAAATAAAGTCATAAACTGACTGTATATGGGGATGGGTCAAAACCCAACTTTTGGTCTCCTGCTCCGGTCTGCGGAAGAACACACCAGGGAAACCCAAGGCAGAACCTGTGGTCGACCTTGGGCTGCCCAGCTTTCACTCAAGGCAACCGCGGAGGAGCTGGCCTCAGAGGCTGGTGGTGTGGCATCCAGGGCTGCGAAGTAGAACGCAGATGTGGAGGGTTTACATAAGTTGGAGGAGACAGTTGTTGGAAGGACTGACTTCCCGACATGTCTCATGTCCCTCAAATTACTCGTAGATGGGAGCCTCACAGCTGTTTTAAATCACTCAAGGACCGCCGATTTCGGTACCGTACACCAGAGGTTTCAATCCAAGGTAGAAAAGCATAGCAAAGGACCCTAACACAAAGCCACACGAGTGACAAGGGTCCATCCATCCTGGAGTACCTCCACACGATCTCGGCGGGCGGATGGCGCGTCGTTCGGAACAGAGTCGCCCTCGGTGGCCCCAGCGACCATCGGATGACCCCTGTGAACCCAAAACCAAACAGGTGGTCTTCTGATGTCCGTCATGGTTTCAGGAACGGAGTTCAGTATATAGTATAATATATATATATATACTTTGGTCGTTTACAAAACTCGGAGTTTCCACTGATCAGCCGGTTCTCTGCGCTGATGGCCTCTGGCTCTTCACAAGAAAACTGACCCATGAGATTCATGAGATCAAAGGAACTTCCAAAGACCTTGATGCAATCAGATCGGAGGGGTCCCAACTCTTTACTGAACAAAAGTCATGCAGCCTTGACCTGTTCTTGTTCCCTGACACTTTCCAAAACCCTCGCACCCGCCCAGTCGGCCGAACATGGCCTGCAGCGCCATGCTGTGTGGCGGTGCCTGCCCATCAAATCAGGGGGATGTTGGATCCTGCTTTGGAGGAGCTCGAAGAACCTGTTTGCTTCGTTTTTTCGGTTCTGTGAACCATTCCAGTGATGTGGCACGGCAGATTCGCAGCGGAGTTCAGTGGTGCATCTTTGCAATTGAGAGCATATATATATATATATATAGTGATCGGACTCTACGTTTGTACACAAGTCCCAAGTCCCCTCCAACTTCTTATGGCGACACACCTCCTGCTGCTCGCAGTTTTCTCCACCACCTCTTTGGAACGACAGCTCTCATGGCTGCCATCCAGCTAGATGATTGGAGCGAATTCACTTCATCACTGCAAGCAGCACTCATTTGGCTTCTTCACAGGCTCCACGACGGTCGCAATGATGGGCCTCTCATGGCTCCCTCGCGGAGCGGAGGACGCGCTTCCGCCCCACTCCACGGTGGAGGCCATGGAAATCTTCTGGATGTCGCGCGCCGATTGGCGCACCAAGGGCGCCATGTCTCGCAAGGAATCCTTATAGGTCCGGCCGCGGCAGAAGTTTCCGATGGCCTGGAAGCCCCAACGATCTCCCGGTTCGCGGAAGAGGCGTGCGATCAGCAATCCCGTCTCGCCCCGTGCCTCCCGGAGCACGTAGCGTGCCAACTCAGAGCCATCCTCACCGCAAACGCGACAGTAGGCATTGGCCACCTGGTCAAAAGTCACATTGGGAGTGTAAATGTTGACACTGAAAATCATCTGTGCAACCGTGTCTGGAATCTTTGCCAGGTTCACTTTGATGACTTCATCATCTCCGCTGCCCTCACCTGTGAGATTATCACCGCTATGCTGGACGCCAAATTGCTCGGTGTTGCCGAAGAACACAGCGCCCACCTCTTGGAAGTCCTTCCCAAAGAAGACCACAGAGACATCCAAGTCGATGTCCGAACCACGTGCCACGTCCCAGCCAAGGCCAGCGGTCACCATGCCCAGGCTGGATGCTTGTGGAAGGTCGACGACGGCACCCTTCTCCATGGCGAAGGCCACCTTCTGCCGCTTCGGGGCACCAGGTAGGATCCCCCGGATCAAATTTCCAAGGGTTGGTTCTAAGATATCCATGAAATGCCGTCCTGGTTGAGCAGGCGAATCAAGCACTCGCAGATTCCAATCTCCCTGGTCAGATTTCACCATCATTAAGACTGCATCCACTTCATGAGGGCTCTCCTCCATTCGATAGGATGCCACTTCATTCTGCATCGTATCCTCCAGCACATGGATCACTCCATTGGAAACATCTCGCAAATGGCCACGATTGTGGGCTGCCACCACAAAGATCACCGATTTCACCTGCTGTGGAATCCGTGGCATCGTGATCCAAATGGTTTCATCCAAGCCAGCTCTCTCCCCAGTTTGTTCATCTCCAGAATGTGTGATACACCGCAAAGCCTTCATATTGTTGTAGTAAACCGCATCAATGATGACCCCTTTGTCATCTACAATCACCGCTTGCAGATCCACATCCACGGCCTTGGGTCCTTTGTCCCATGAGATGCCAACTCCGAATTTGCTCACGTGGGGGTTCACCGGAATCTCCGCTCCACGGCCCAACGCCATGGCGCGGGAAGACTCCAATTTCCAGACCTGTGACGTTCGGGTCTCAGTTCGGCCATAAACCAAGTTGATCCGGGAAGAACGAAATGGAGGGGTGTTGTGTTTCCAGAAATCGGCCTCGTGAACATGTTCTTGTTGAAGTTTCATTAAGGAAGACTCTCTTGAAGAAGGAACTTACAAAGATCAACTGAGCCACATGCACATGGATGTCATCATATTTGGAATCTCTGGGAACAGCAATTCTGCCACGGCCTACCCCACCAACTTGTATAGTATATATATAATACACACACACAAAAGACGATTCCCAACAACAATTCTCAACTCCATACAAACAAGATATACACTGAACCCGTGTGAAGATCATCTTTCAGTAAAAAGGCCTGCCACGCCGGCCACACTGTCACTCCGCTTGAAAAGAAATCCCCTTAACCAAAACCGCATGAGACCGACGCAAAAACGCGCACCGCGTCAGACGCGCCTTCAACGCTGGCTGGCTACCACTGCGGTTGGGGGGCAGCCTCGGCCGGTGCGCACCCACCGCACCCACGCGCTGCCGGAATTCGGGTGGAGGAAGGAAGTCTGTGGGCCAAAGACTTAGACTTGAGGTACATAAGCCCCCAGTTTGAATTGGAAATCCTTTTCAGATGCGGGGGTTCATTAATCAAGAGTCTACATTAGAGATGCAAAGGTGACAAATCTTTGGGTCATTATGTCGTTTTGGAGATCCACTGGGCAGTTGTGAAGGTACTATGGCATACCATGGCCATCCGGATGGGTCTTTTCAGGGGACAAACAGACGTGTGTCTCCAGGGGAAGTCTTGTTGCAGCTGGACCTGGCACCAGAGAAATCGGCAAGTATCATAAACCCGTCTGAGCGATGCAAAGATTACCTTGGAAACATGGTGGAATCCCATGTTCTCTACAAATCAACCCTACCCTGGCTGTTGATTCCTTCAAAAATTATACTGATTGAAAGCTTGGCCTCGGCCTCAATTGCCTACCTCACTAGATCCAAAGATTGTTGCATCCCAGCGAATCCATCCCTTCGTTTTGTCCAGTGCTCATCCTTTGTCTCAAATTGATGCCTGACCAAGCAATCGCCAAGCGGTGGACTGAATTGGTTGGACTCCCCAGCTCACCGCTAGCCACGGACAGGGCTCCATAGAGCAAAACCCCCCAGCTCACCCAGTCCAGGCAGGGTCCGGGTCTCCCCGCGCGGCCAGCGGCTCCTCAAAGCTCCTCAGCGGCCAGCGAACCCGGAGATGCGAGTCTGGGAGAAAATCTGGAGGGAGACATCTCGCACCCCTGAAAACAAGGGCCTGCCAGCCACTGCCAGCTTGCCAGCTGGTTTGCAAGATAAGGGAGTCCTCAAAAGCATTGAGGAGGGTCGGGAGCTTTTGGGAGGGTCAATCGGTTGCAACTCCCACTTTTGTGAGATAGTGATAGATCTCTCAATTAAATGTAGACTGGTACATAAACCCCTCCATGATCTCCATATAAATGGGAAATCCTCTGCATAACAGGGGGATATAAACCCCTCAAGAGTCTACAGTCTACATACATTAATAGTCACAGTCTTGCAAGAGTCTCAGTCATCCACGTTGGGTCTCAGTCATCCACGGGCACTGACTCTGGAGGCGTCGCTCTCGGAACGGCGCCTCTGCATGCCCTTGATTTGGTTCACGTCAGAGATGAAGCCGTCTAAGACCTTCCAAGAGCTCAGTCCAACCAACCCCTACCAGGTCCAGTCTGTGCCAGCAAAACCTGGTCAAACTGACCTCCTTGAGTAGTGTTTTTGCACGACCAACTCCAGTAAAATGAGGTCATTGACCTGTAGGGAACTGGAGGTGTTAAAACAAGTGTATATATATATATATATATAGGCGCAGAAGCGGATCACACCCCTGGGATAGTCGTCCACCTCCTGCACGTCGCTGGTACGCCGACAGGGCGCCCTGCTCAGCTGCAGGAAAAAGCCTACCCTGTCCTCCACAAAGCTTGAGGTCTTCACGAACCAAGCACGAGTTTCTGCAAGATCGCTGCCACACTGCCGCACATGAGAATCAAATTGATTTCCAGTCCATAAGGGGAAGAGATGCCTCGGGTTTTGGAGCGCTCCAAACTTCCCGCACGACATGGCCGCGCCCATGGCCCCGCCCATGGGCCGACGGCCTTCATCTCGGTGTCCATCTTATTGCGAGTGCGCTTGATCATGCGCCTCCGTCCAGAGCGGATGCCCAGAACAGTGGCTCCCCTTAATAAATAGGACTTCCTCCTGACCTGCTGGTACTCAGCCCATCCGCTGGTAAGGGACTTTGACAGCATGTTGGGACATGAACCAGCTACTGTAGCAAGTGGGGAAGTGTAGGCAGATTCGCTGGTCACCACATGTTTGTGCCACTTACTTACTTACTTGTTGGGAAGTACAATTCAAATGCTTGGGACAGCCGCAGTCCTACGGATTTTCTCCGCCTGAGCTCCTCTAAGGAGTCATCCATCTCCAACGCCATCGTTTCACGAAGCAGGTCACCTAGGCCGAACTCCGCCCGTCGCCCCTTGGCCCGTCGCCAGCGGGTCCGGCCATGCAACATCAGAACATCAGAACTCCGGTGGGGATGAGCCTAGGAGGATGTTCTGTTGACATAAGAGTCCACGTGAGGACCCGACTCTGGAGGGGGATACCTATCAATAGCCTCTTAGAGGTCTTTTTGGGGGTGTCCAACCACCGAACTTGGAAGGTGGTTCATGGAGACCTGCCAAATCGTCCAATTGAATCTGCCCCCGGCGGGGGGGTCTTCATCAAGCTTCAACAGTACTCAAGACCGGAACTGGCCCAACAGGTCTCCCCGCGTGAGGACCTCCCCTTGCCACCCTAAGGCATTGGACCTTTTCGGGGGATAGGAAAAGACCATATTTTGGGTGGTTGGTGGTTGGCTTTAGGTGGGTACTCAAATAGCAGAATCCCAACAGTTCGAGCTCGTTCAAAACAGAGGTCATGTCTGGGCTCTGGGTAAGCACCAGCCTCCTGCACTCCTAACTTTGCTGCGTTGGTTCTCCTGGAGAAATGTCTGTGGTCCCCCCAAAGTCAGGCCATGTTTGAAGAGGTCGACCTGTTGGTTTCAATGATCAAATGCTGAATTATCCCCAGTCAAGATTCAATCATGTTTCTTGCCAGATCTGATCTTCACGTCAAACTGTCAAACGGTGTTCTGTGAGAGTAGAAGAATCGATTCTGTGTGGTCCAACACGCTGGTGGAGCTGCCGCACTGATTGCGCACACAATGCTTGGGCACGCCGACTATATTCCACCGGCTTAGCCTCAATAGCTAAGGGCTCCTCCTCCTAGCGGATGGACACTTGGCATCAGCAAAACCCGCAACTTGAAGACTGGTGCAAAGGCAGTGATAAATCATCGAGCTACTACCAACCACTTCAACTTTCGGGCCGTGGGGAATAACTCCAAACAGGAAACTACAAGGAAAAGCGCCTGCGCAAGTGGAAACGGCTCACGCGAAAAATGACAGAAACGTAAGACTCGACGTCGGGTCGACGTAATCCTCAACCCCTTTGCTCTCCCCCTGCTGCGCGTGCTTTGGGAACACATTAACCTTAACACGCCGCCCAACTGTACGAAAACCGCTTTGAGGTCAAGGCTTCGTTGAATCGACCAGACCTTCGACACCGGTTTTCAACAGCGGAGGGAGGAGGGGCCCTGCCTATGGAGGAGTCCATACCGTTTGGCACTGAAGAAAGGGCCAAAAAAGCATGGTAAAGAACACAGAAACGTAAGGGTGAAACGGCCCAAAAAGGGGAGGTGAGTTTACCCATCATGGTGTTCCTGTGTTCGTCAGAGATGTGCCTTTGGTTTACAAAGCAGTCGCTCAGTCGCTGGATTGCGCCAAACCACGCAAATCCGCCGTGCACCGTCCTCAAGCTTCTTGTTTCGTCGTCGCCTCCGGCATCAAACCGCGTCCGAGTCAACAAGGGCCAACCCACCCGAGCAACGCCCGCCTTTGTTGGAACTCAAACCGACGAAAACACCGTCCGCGACGTTCCAAACATGCTCCACCCGACGCCGCTGCGCGAGGTGGCGGAGAATGTGCTTCGCACGATCTGGTTCCAATCAGGTAGGTGATGCGGGGCACCTTCATCTTCACCCATGGCGAAGAGAAAGTACAAGGTCTGTCTAGCCAGGGGAGTAGTTTTCGGGCTGTACTTTCTCCCTCACACCTAAACCACACCGACCCCCCCCATCGCTGTGCTTTCCTCGTTCTTGGCGCAGGCAGTGCCAGCTGCTGGTGATCCTGGCAGCTAGCAGGCAACTGGGTCTCGCATGAATGTGCAACTTTGGCAAATGTTCATCTAGGACGTGCTTGCATCACTCTTGGCAATTGGTTCCATCAGTTCCCTTCAATTTCAAGTGATTGACCCATCCCAAATGGTTGACCTACCTGGTTGACTCACTGGTTGACCTTGGTTGATACATACCGACCGGTTGACCATCTAGGAGACATACCGACCGGTTCACCTACTTGGTGCTGGTCAAACCCTCTCGCTTGGTGCTGCGCCGCAAGGTTCGGTTTGGTGCACCGGTGAACTGGGCTGGCCGGGTGAACTGGACCCACGAGTCGCCCCCCCCAGAGACACAACGGACGTGCCGCGCTTGGGCTTTGAGACCCAAAGGACAACACCTCGGACCCTCAGCACACAGGACCCTTGGGTTTTTTCTATCCAACTGTCAAGTACCTCTACATCGACATCATCCCCGAAGGGCTATGAAGAAACCAAGACCTTCCTGGGTTTCCCCATTCCCAACCAAAGAGTTTCTTCCAATATGGCCCTCCCTTGACAATCCTTTACAAAGCAAGTGCTAAAGCAATGGTGTGTTCGTTCCGTCCGTTTCTGCTTGAACCGGCCGCACCTGCACGCGGCCTTCCAAGTCCACTCCGGTGAGGAACGCCATGGACGCCAAGGAACGCCGCAGATGAAAGAGGTCCAACTTCGAGGTTCCGGGGAACCCAAATCCGTCCGGGCTGATGGGTGGCTGATGCAGTGCCTCCTAGGCTGATGGAAGGCTGATGGGTGGCTGATGGGTGGCTCTCAAGAGAGTGGCCCTTTTTTTGTGCCAGGGGGTCTGTTTGGCACTGTGGCCGAGAAGTTCGAAACCAAAACCTAGGGCGGTTGGTTTTGTTGACAGCCAAATGAGGTGCAAAGACATCGACCGCAAGTCGTGCGAAGACTACAGTCATGTATTCTTCAGCGGTGCGTTGCTGACAGAACCAAATGTCTCTGGTGCAGACAGGTGCAATCATGGGTTTTCCCCAGGCTTCCAACCACAATGGATTTAGTGGTCTTTACTGCACAACCATTGCTTTACTAAGGTCAAACTCTTTTACAAAATGTTTTTTGAAGGCTAGGTGTCTTTTTCCGATTGAAACGCTTCAAATGTTTCTGCATGATCCTTTAAGATCTTCACAGTCTTCCACGGTGATGTCAGGCGTACGACTTGCTTCCAGCTCATTTGACATCCAGCGCATCCCAGCAAAAAAGCAAACAATTGAAACATGTGGGCATTCTTCTTTGACTTTCCTAAGCTGTCTACCAAAGGTGATGTTGTCATCGACCTGTTGCGAGTTACTAAAACTTTCAACCACTTTTGCGCACGAAACGAAGAGTCTCAAACCACATGGTCGGCTGGAGGTCTTGAACTGCGCGATGTCCTGTCGGCAAAAATGCACATCATTCCGGATTTTGGGCCCTGGAGTTCTTCAGAGTCAGCTGGTCGCATGCACCACCCCCGTCCTCGGTCTGGTCTGGCGAACTGCGACTCACCGTGCGGGTGGAGCGGAGCTGGCGCATGGAGCGCCAGCGATGATCCTGGGAGGCAAAAGAGGACACCGTTTGGACGACCTCAAAACACCAGGTTGAGTCTTTTGGACGACACCAGGACACCTTTTGTACTTCAACTGGGTTCTTCCCAAAAGGTGTCGTCCAAAAAGGCGTCGTCCAAAAGATTCCAGAAGTACACCCTTTTGGGGTGATATCGTCGAGGTTACCTTCTCTTGGAAGTTTGATGTTTGGCCTCTTGGCAGGACAAAAGAGAAGACACAGAAACTCAAAGTAACCAAGGGTCTCTTTGATCAGGCGTCCATTGACCATCGCTGGTCTTCAAGTTTGAAAAGCTGAAGAACTGCGGCTACTCAAGTAGCTTTTGTGATCTTTTTGTGAGTTTCGGGTAGAAATCCCCGTTGATGTGCCCATCATTCTGCTCCAGCAACATCCCATGTCCCCTTTCTGTCCTTGGACATGTCTGAACATGTCAGCTGATTCCGTCCAGGCGCAGCCACTCATGGCGGCAGTGAACATCCACAGACCTGCCAGCTTGGCGGGCGTCACACTCCCAAAACATGGTCTTTGCCGAGGCCTCAGAACAGGTATTATTGATGGTTTATGGTCCATGTTGTTAAGAACCTGTAGCCTATCCAGCAGAGTGTCCGGCTGGTCGCTCACACGTATGGCTCGTTCCCAGCCTTATTCGTTCGGTAGATTCCTTGCACCTCACCACATCTCAGCCACTGGATCCTAAGGGCTGCGCAAGAAAGTGGTTGAAAGTTGCAGCTTCACGCTGAAACGTCGGGCATCACAACGTGAACAACATTCTCTTTCACCTCTCTGATCCCGAGTGCTGCAGTCCTCGAGCATGAGTCGAGCTACCCCGGAACTCGCGTCCCATGTTCTGAAGTGAAGGTTCCCCTTCTGTACAAATCAACGCAGCGACGCACGCTGCATACATTAAAAGCTGAGCACTTTGCAGCCCAACTGCACCGCGAGCCTCTTCTACGGTCGACCCTTCCACAGGCGCTTGCGCAGCCATGACGAAAGTCGACGCAGCTTGCGCTGCTCTTCGTGGCTCTGCGGCTCCGCAGTCTCCGCCACAGAGCTGCTCCCAGGCGACTGAGAGGTGCCAGGAGATGTCGTAGCATTGGAGATGACATCACCCATCTTCGCAGCAAGCTTCTCAAAGCCGCGCACACCGTCTAGAGGCTCGCCTCGTCCAAAGTGCATTCACAACCAAGTGCAGTGGATCTATGTTGTCTGGGGTCCAAATAATGGCATCTTCACATTTACTGAGTGAAATAAGAGCAGCCAGAGATATCATGGTGTAATTGGTGACCTCGAA